TTTGGAATGTCGAAAATTAATTTTGTTTTGTGGTATTTGTGCAATATTTGAAAAATTGTGGTATTTGTGAAACATTTGAAAAATAGTTGTACTTTTGAAAACAAAACTTGGTATTTGTGAAAATTACCTATATATCGATCGATATCAATTTTCTCCTCTCCGACTCTCGCTCAGCGAAAACGAAACCCTCCCAAACAAAACCCTCTGAGAATTTTCTCAAACAGCAAAATCAATCCTTCCTTCTATGGCTTCTACGGTGGAGAAATCGGATCAATCACCGGCCATGGCCGCGAGATATCTGGTGAACTTTGATGCAGGCTACGAGCGGTACGAAGGAACCCAAGACAGCTGAACAACCCGATCACAGTCGAAATGATCCAAGAGGATGTTCCTGTTAAAGTTGAGGTTTGAGCAGAATACTTAACTTCCAGCGATCGGTGGTGTAAAAAGTCGAACCTAAGCTAAGGTTATATAGAGGTAAAAATAACAATTTTTATTTTAGAGTTGGAAATAGAGATGAGTTGGAGAAAAAATATATGATTGCTATTTTTTTTCTCTATTTTTAGAGAAAAAAATAGAGTTAGGTTGGAGATGCCCTTATATGAGTAATCAAGAGGAATCACATTACTAGTTTGACACAATAGTCTCTGCCCATAAATGGCCCTGATCTCGTGGATCTGTTTTCTATTTCCCTTTTGATCTGATTAGTTTTCGTTTTTAACCAAGCACATTCGTGGTTCTTCTGTATTGTTTGGTAGCAGATGAGTGTGAACGATAATTTTGAGGTTAGATTTGCTTGAATGTGGAAATATGGCTAGGTTTCTCGTGGATCAACAACTATTGTCTGAGGAATCAATAGAGTATCCAAAACTGTTTCACCATAAATAAGCTTTTTCTTTCTCGTTGTGTAAATCAAACACAAATCTTTGAAGTAATAATAAAGGTTGACCAAAAAAACAGAAGATCTTTGTAGGAATAAGGTATTGAATTTGTCTTCAACTAGGATGAACCTTAAGATAACCTCATTCCAAACGCTATTTTCAGCAAAACCACCATCTGTCTCGTTTTTCTTATGCCGACTTTTCCCAACGCGTTTGGTAAATAAATGATGTTCGAATCTGCTAACTTTTTTGCTGGGAGCTTCTTCACTGACGAGGAGGAGAAAGTTGTTGTGATTTCCTATTTACGTAAATATAAACCGACCAAGACCTGTTGCTACCAAGCCGCTTCATATATTCATTGGAGAAGGTGGATACTTCAGACCTTTGAATATCGGACATGCTCAAAAACCTGACAAATCTGGATATTTTAGAGCATGTTCATTGGTGGGTTTTAGAGGGTTTCTTAGGATTAAATAAACTGAAAAAAAATATAAAAAGGGGAGAGAGACTAAGGAACTTCAAGAAAAGTTTCTCAAACAAGAAACTTTGAGATGGGTATTAGAAACTTGTTATCATATGTATAGTGTTCTAAGTGGTTCAATTTCACTTATGTAATTAAATAATTTTATTATATTAAAAGTACTAATATTAAATTAGTTAGATACCTTTTATAAAAACTTAACCAATGTACTTGCTCTTAACCAACTTGTCTTTTGCGGTCTTTATGTTTCAAGTTTAGTGCAAATCAAAATCAACCAACTGGGCAAAAGGAAACACAGAGATTATTAACTATTTCCATTTGCAATACATCATTTGTTTCTTGTATCATTTTATTTTATCTCATTATTTTCAAAAGATTGCTTATTGTCAACTAGTAACTTGTGTTTTGCTATTTATGTACGAAAAGATGACTGGTTTTGCATGTTTTAGCCTCTTTTCAGTTGTTCCATATCAGGTGAGTTCATATGAAAGTCGATAGATGTGATCAGTGTGTGTTTATAAGAGTAACTTACTGATATGATAGCTCGAAGCTTATACGGCAAAGTCTTGTTTGTCCTTTTGACTTATTTGCTAGTTAGAAYAAGATCAGTGCCTCTGCGGTTTGGTCATGTCTTGCGTTATCGAAAGAACATATTTCTAGGCTCTTACCGAATTCATTGTCATGCTCAATCTGAGCTCAGTTCAGAGAGATGGTTCAAAACATTACATAGGTTAGAATCAGAAAACTTTCCTTGGAGATTTGCTACTTGCAAGATCCAAAACGAAACACATAACTAGTATACAATGGTATTTGTTTTGCATTCTTAAGTTATTTTGTAACTCAATGCAGAGTTTTGGAAGACAATTCCTCCAACTGAGCCATATCGAGTGATTCTTGGTGACGTGAGGGATAAACTGTCTCACACACGTGAGCACTCTCGCCAATTGCTGAGTAACGGAATCTCGGACATCCCTGAAGAAGCTACTTTTTGATGGATCGTCTGAGTTTGTACTTCTGAAGATAAGGAAGGAGATTGAATGCTTGTTGCTGATGTTCCACGGAGATAACAAATCTAAAACCATGAGAGTTTATCATCTCTTAAAGTCTGACGAATGTTTCTCTTCTTGTTTGTCAAAAACATGGAAGAAAAATCTTGGACTAAAACATCTTAATATATGCAGCTGCCTGCAAGACATCAAGAGACAAAGAAACAACCCGGTTTAGCTCGCTCTCTTTTCGACTTTCTGAGAAATCATTTGAGTGTAAAATGTTGGATCTATTTGCTTGTATATGTGGTCATTTCTGGTTAGAATTTTCAGGGAAATGGATGCATTTAGAGGAAGGCATGTTATGTTATGCGCCTCTTTGTATTCTTGGTCCGAAGAATAC